ACTGTTTTCATAGTTGGGCGATAAGGAACCTACCGCGTTAAAATCCCGAATTGTTGGATTTTGCCTCTAACCTCACCGTTGTAATGCAGCGCCCCATGCGCTCTGCGGCTAATAAAGTCGTTCGCGCGCGAAGATATTGCACCTTCGGCATGAGCAGCCTATACTTGCCAGATGAATCCAAACACAAATTATTTGGACTTTACTGCCCAGTGTGCTTTCTGCGTTGGAAGCATAGGTGCGATAGGGGGAGCCGGGCTCTCCCCAGGTGAAGGGGGTCTCGGCTGTTCCCGACCTTCCAGGGTGAAGGGAGTATGTGAGTCTAGGGGGGGGGGGAGAAAGAGAGAAAAGGTAAAAAAGCGTGGTATGAAGAGCTCTAATTTGCACCTTATTTAGGCACAAATTGAAAAAAAATTTGAAAAATTTTGAAAGAAATTAAAAATCTAAAAAAATTGACTCTATGAAGATCTGTGCTCCTGTTTCATTGCATCAACAAAAAACGAAGGCAATAAGGTTTATCCCAAAAGATGTACAAGTTAGGAACAACTTCAATTCTTGCACATCATCATCAACAATATTACTATCGCTAACGTCAGAGACAACAAGTTCGCTGCCTGAAAAATCTTCTTCTTCCTCCAAAAGGTCATCGGAGTAGAAGTAGAATTGCGTGAAAAAGCGTTCTAAGTCGAAAATGGATTTGAAACGTTCTTCTTCTCCAAGCGCTTTTGTGATTTTTTTTCTTGGCCCTCTGGTAGCACCAGGAAAGTCAGCAGGTAGGTGACCAGTTTCTTCATACCATCTTTTAGGATATTTCAAAAAGTCACACGGTAAAAGCCTGTATGGACCACTTATACCAATCCTTTGGATGAAGTTTTTAGATAACAATATGTTTAGTAGAAGGTAATTGAGTAATTGCTTAAGTAATTGCTTAGATGCTCCATCGTTGTACGACTTCTGCGTTGTGTTCTGATAACAGAGTAGATAGAAAATTTCTTTCTCCACCTCTGCCGTACTAGTCGGAATGGAAACTAGCTTTGCTAGTAAGTCTATCCGATTTTTGCGGTAAGTAATGGGGAAAGAGCGAGAGCATATGCTTTCGCAGCACAAGAGGGAAATATTGCATACTTTTTTGGGCCTTGTCGAACTCTGGCTTTACCTCCTCTGGCATACGTCCTGTTAACTGATAAGAAAGCTGCTTAACTTCTTCTTTAACAGCATCTGCGGAATAGCAGAAAAAAGTAGGTACTATGCTGCGCGTTGGTTTTTTTTCAATATCATAGGTCATAATGTTACAAGGCGAATAACTTCCAAAAGCATAAAGCACAGAGTTGGGTTCGCACTCCAGTCGGGATCTAAGAGCAGTAGCTATGCTTTATACTAACACCTTCTTTTTGTTCATATCCATGTTTGTGAATTTAGCAGCTTTGAAATCTTCAGCAACCTGAAGATCAGCAATGTACTTCCTGAACATTTCCTCATTGAAACTAGGCAATCTGCTTGGATTCCTTATGTAGGAAATCAGAGAGTTTCGCTCAATTGTCAACTCTGTATCAAGGTCGACAACATTTTGGTCGGCGTAAGATTCTCCTTCTGCCTCGCTGTTGAACTGGAACACATGCGAGTCATCTGCGATTTTGTAAAGTATTCTGCCTGCCATTTCCCCTTCAAACTGCCAACCTTTCCAAAACATTGAGGGATATTTCAATAACATGTTATTCTTCTGAATGTCTTAAAGTTTTTGATTCATTGAAACCAACCATCCTCTACAAATTAGGTAAGGTGAGTCTAGAGCGTTTTCACGAAAGTGACCTTCTTCAGCACTAGGTTTACAGAGTATAGATTCCAGAAATAGGAGAGTTTTTGTGTGAAGGTGTAGAAATTCACCAATCTCCCATAGTTTTTTGAGTGTGTGCTAATAATGATGGCATAACTGTCAATCAAAAGCGCATTTTTAACCAAAAAAACATAAACATACAACAACGATAAGCACGCTTAAATAGATGCGTTAGCTTACGTTCCCGTTAGTGCTGATAACGATGTCAATCCATAGCACATTTTTACTATTAACTTGCTCCATCTCGCTCTTACTAGGTCGTCCCGAAAGTTTTTGCGCACGATTTTCAAAAATTCATAACTTCTGATTTTTCCAACCGATTTGACTGCTTTCACTTTTATGTGAAAGGGTAAGTCATGCTCTTTATAATGACGTCTCAGTGCTTAGTAATGATCATCTGTTGCATAGATAGGAGCGATAGAAGAAAAATGGTCAAAATTTGAATTTTTCGTGTAGGGTCATAAAAAATCGGAAACTTGCAACAAAAATCGGAGCAGTCAGTATTGTAGGTTCTTTCACCAGCTCTCTCTAACAGTGCAAAGTTTGCGCCAATTGAGCATTTTCATGGAAAGTTATGATTTCCCTGAAAAATGCCAAAATAAACCAAATTCGATCTTTTGTATTGCTTGCTCGAAAATCATAACTTTTCATAGAGACCCTCAATCAGCGCAAACTTTGCACTGTTAGAGAAAGCTGGTGAAAGAACCTACAATACTGACTGCTCCGATTTTTGTTGCAAGTTTCCGATTTTTTATGACCCTACACGAAAAATTCAAATTCTGACCAATATTCTTCTATCGCTCTTATCTATGCAACAGATGACCATTAGTAAGCGCTGAGATGTCATTATAAAGAGCATGACTTACCCTTTCACATAAAAGTGAAAGCAGTCAAATCGGTTGAGAAAAATCAAAAGTTATAAATTTTTGAAAATCGTGCGCAAGAACTTTCGGGACGACGTATACAATGTGTTGGCTTTTATGGGTTACCGAAGCAAATGATTTTTAGAGCCGGCAAGCAAAGAAGCCCTAACATGCTGTATACCATTCGAAAGCTGAGATCATGGGGAATCGACATTGACGGTCGAATTTTTTCTAGGTCTTCTGTGCCGCGAGATGTGAGGGATTTTATGTGCTTCAAAGTTTAACTGATTTTGTGTCCTTACTTTCTGCTCTCCAAATGAATGCTACAAGAAAGTCGACGGTCTGTTTGTTAATGAAGACTTGCTCTTGAACACAGATAGATAATCTGCAGTGATTAGGTCTTCATTTGGCAGAAATCTGCTGTTGAAAATGACCATGTTTTCAGATAAAATGCGGTGTATCTCTCGGTAGAGGGGGGCTAGAAAGAAGTCGACGGTCAAGGTCGAATCCCCTTTTCCTGAGCTTTCGAATGGTATATAGGTTGCTGGGCGAAAAAACTAACCAGTTTTCAAAACTGGGGTGGAGATATTTACTATTAGCTTGCTCCACTCAGCTCCACCAATGTATTGGCTGAACCTTTTAATGACGATTTTTATCATATTCTCAGAGTACAATACCAATCTCGGCCCAGGTGAAGGGGGGTCATCGGGAGTTTGGCCTCAGAGTGAAGGGGGTAAGATCCACCACTCTCCCTATCGCAAGTATGGCTGGAAGTCGTACTAGAGTTATAAATGATTTGAGCAGTGCCAGATCGCAAGGTAACTGCGGCCATGCGGGGTATGCTTAACAATTCCACATGTTCGCCGGCAGTTCACATGATGTTTTCATGACATCGGGACATATAATCTTATATATAAAGCTGAATGTCTGTTTGTCTGTATGTATGTCTGTACGTATGTTCCGAATAGAAAATTCCATTTCTGAACCGATCTGGACCAAACTTGGCACACATACTCCGGGCCCCCGCCAGGGCCCGGCACCGATGGTTTGGGGTCAAACTGGACTTCGTTTTTGGAGTTAGAAGCAACGGGGACATCGTTTTTATGAGGTCCTGGAGGAAGCGCCAAAAAAAAACACGACGAACATGTCAGGTTTTACCAGTTGAACGTGTTCTTTCGCAAGCGCGCGAATTTCAAATGCAAGACTCAAACAAACAAATGGCTTGTTTACAGCTCAGAAACAATCACATGGCTCCGAATTTGGGCTATGAGTCTACAATATTACTCCAAACTATGTTATGTAAAAAGTTCCCAAAACTTATGTGTCTGAATACCCGTTCCAAATTTGTTGGTTTCTAGACCAACCACCGAACCAACTGGGTTGGTTCGGAGCATAAATTTCGGGGAGTTCACATAAGTTTTAAACCTTTTTGATTTGGACGATCAAAACGCTCAAAAATCTATTATATAGTGAAGAGAGCGAATCAAACCATTGCCTCTCCCCTCTTCTTTTGAGCCAAAAGTAGTGCAGTTCTGCGCGTTGATAGATATTGCGCTCCAATCACACGCGGTGTCCTTTGAACTATATGGCGAAAAATGCATCGCCGGGTTGTTGAGGCCACAGATTTGGTTGGCCTAGGAGGTTTTCGATTTCCGAGCACTAAAGTGGTGCTATACCCAATGGCAGAGCCTTTAATCTACTCGAAATGTATTCTTTTTGCTTTTTTGTTATACTATATAACTCAAAATGCGCTTTTTTCGCTTTTTTATTGTTATTTTGGTTGAATAAGGATTTCCCTATTGATTTTTACAACGAGAGGGACTTCATAAATTTTCGAAAAGTCATGGGGGACTTCGTTTCCAGAAACGCTTCAAACCAATGCGTGCCGGGCCCTGGCCCCGGCGGGTGTCATAGGCTACTTTTCGTCATCGATCGATATCGATTTTATCGGTTTTTTGCAAAATTTAAGCTGCGGGGCTGGGAGTTGGCACAGGGGGTAATCGAGCATGCTGATTACAAATATATTATTGACAGGGCCGGGCGGAGCCGGGTAAGCCATCTAGTGTATTCATAAAATCGTGACGACGGCGCAATCGCGCGCATCGCGCACGCATGGCCGGCAACCGCATTTTCTTGGTTTCCGCCTCGATTTGAATGTTTTTTCTGCACACATATGATAGCATTTGCTGTGAAGTTACTGAGCTGAGAATTACGTTGATGCCTTTTTGTGTGTTTTAGGCTCCTGTGGGCGCGAAGACTGCAGTCAAAACCGTCGTCAAGATTTCACGAACACCCTATATAATGCCCTTTGTCGCCATGCAACAAAATTAGAATGAACATATCTGCCAATTTTATAAATGAAATCACTGAAAATACAAGGTTAACAGTATATCATAGCAATGAGATCGTAATAACTACACAAAATACACTTCAGAAACATTCAAAAGTATAAACTGGGTTCGGTGGACATCTTAGAAGTTGACAATAGTAGTAACCGTTGATGTAGTGTGGCGATAGCTATGGAGCTAAAGTAGTCCCCTTTTTTAGCTAAACTAATCTAGATATGGAAAGCCTGGCATAAGTGCTGTAGCAGCTGACTAGGCTAATGGTCTAAGGCTATGTACCAAGTCTTCAGGAGTAGGGGGGAATCTAATGTTTTCAGTGAAGAAAAAAGATCTGATTTCCATAAAGCAACATGAAGGCGAATGCTTTGGATAACCGGAAAAAAGTTATGAGGCCTCCCAATCTCCTACTGGTATTCAAGATATCAAGGTAAAAAAAATACATGACATAGAAACTCTCAGTACAGCAAACATAAGCTTTGCATCATAGATCCATGAATATCGAAAAGAAACATAACAGAAAAATGACTTGAGCGTCCAATTCCAAGAACTTTTTTCTATTGTCCCGTTTCTACAGTCTCTACGGACTGTATCTCCACCTCCTCCACTACTTGAATATTATCCGTGGGATGATCTTCTTCCTGCTTTTCTTCATGCGTTTCTGTATGTTCCTCTACTACATGTTCTTCCACCATATTTTCGTCGATTACTTGCTCTTCCACCACATGCTCTTCTACCGCCTCTGACGTTTCTCCTTCCTGTTGTTGTTCCTCTTCGATCACAACGTTTTCCTCGACAATCTCCACATTCTCTATGGTTGCGCCTTCAGGTATCAAACGTTCATCAACGATTTCAGCAGGTACTAGGCCCTCTTCGGTCACGACCATGGCTTCCATGGGCTCTCCTTCAACCATGATGGGATGGTGATCAGCTATGATTTCGATGCCAAAGTCCTGTAAATGGACATAAAATTACTGAACTGTCCTCTGCAAAAACATCGTAGTATTCAAAATCAAATATAAGCATTTTATGTGCGAAGATTTGGGTGTGGCCGCTATGCGATGTATGTTCCAAATTTATCAACATTCTCAGTCAACACTGTTTAAGTAAATCCTCACCGATTTGATATTCTGTAGCAATCGAGCTTCATTTTTGTCCAGCAGCATTCTCCATATGGCATCAAAAACTGCATCGTTGTCACTCGCATCAAACGCTTCTTTTGCACACTTCCACACGGCATCCTCACGAAGTTGATGACCTCCTGGTACTGGAGGGAACTGTCGCATGCTCTACAATAGTATACGTATATTAAGCGGCTGCTACCTTCTACTATTAAGGGAAAATAAATAAATAACAAAAAACAGAAAGGCAAGGAGTTTGAGTATAGCATGATCAAACCTTTCTGGGCGACACTCCTTGTGCCACTTCCTCGGTGTGTGATACATCTATAGCTCCACCGTCCACCAGGCTACTTTCGCCCGACTGCGCAGCCTAAAAACTAGATATTCAATGGGAACAATCTAGATTACGAGACAATCGCGCTCACCAATTCTCCCTGCTTCTTAGCGTTCACGATATCTGCATGTATCCAATCAGGAATATAGTCAATTTCTTCCATCCTAAACATTTAAGAATGATAGTGACTTTATCTGCCTTTCCCATGGCAACGCTTCGAAGGCATACCCCGCTGCCTCCATCTTCACGTCTTCATATCTCGGTTCTCGCCTCAGTTCGCGTCGGATGTTGTAAAGCTTCAAAGACATGCTAGAAAGCGTCAAAAAACTTTTGAAGAGGTACTCACCGCTCTTGGAGGTACAGAATAATTCATTTTGCTTGACAGCATCTCCGCAACTTCCGAGGGCTGGTGAGTAGCTAGCAGACGTCGTGCTTCATCACGTACTGATGGTGGTAAACGGGTATACAACGCCTCCGAAGTGATGCTATTTCCATGAGGAACCTTAAACATCGATATTTATGCGCAACATATCAAATGCAGTTAACGAACCTGCGTCGGCAAAGCGCCTTCTTCAGTATACCAGTAGATGATCATAGAGTGGCCTATTTGCATACCGCCTTTAGTCAGATATATAACCTAAATTCAAAGTCTGATATTTATCAAATGAAGACAGAACAACTCTGACTATTCTGAGTTCAACAAGGCAGAGTATAACACAAACGGAAAATAACACCATAATCAGAGACTTACCCTCTTCTTCAGTCTCGGCAGGCGCGGTAGCGTGGCCGCATATATATGCATTTGGTAATCAGTTCCTTGCGATCTTGACATCTTCATTACCCGCAAGTGGCCCTCCCTATTCAAACCCAAAGATATTTTACTGGTTTTCGGTCGGCGGCACATGATGGAGCCTGAATTAGAGCGATAAACGCAATACACCACATTTATGCTAGGCACGTACCATCGGTCATATGCAAGCTCTCCGACCATGGTGATAATGCATCACATGTAAGATTGCGAATATCAACCTAAATAAACAAAATGCTAACACAATAGTAAGTCGAAACAACAAAGTACCTAGTACAAAGTTCTTACCTCTGCACCGTCAATAAAGAATATAAAAGTGCCTCTCTGAGTGGTCATCGGTGGAAACATCGGCACTCGAGTATTGAGACAGGCAAGATTTTCCCTAGATTTCGACACATGAGGGAAGTCATACCAACTGTACGCAACAACAACAGCAAAAACACGGAAGAGACTTACAACAAACGGGGCTTATTGATAAGGTAATGCAGCTGCCGATTCCGATCATTAAGAAATTCCATGTCAGTAAGATCCAAAAATATGGAACCATCTTCCGCTTGTTGTGGTCCCAGACCAAACTGAAACACATGTATTATGCTTATTTCAGTGAACATTGAAAGCAGCGGAAACAAAAACTTACTGGACTCTCCTTCTCTGATTCCGAAATCTCAGAAACATCATCCAGTGTATCAGACATGTCCATCTGGCAAATGTTTTTTGTTTCGATTGAGAGAGAAGCAAGGACAGACACACAAATGAGACCTTACCGGTAACCTTCTCGGCTTCTGCCGCATGAAACGTTTAGAATAAGGACCACGAATTCGTGGAACAGGTCCTTCTGTGTGGTAATCGTACATAATCATCACGTGACTAATGATCGTTCGTGATTCGGTCTCCATAAGGTATGCAATCTGGAAACATTTTCAAGTATTACTACTTGTTAGAGTATATACTGGGCCGATCTACCTTCTTCCTAAGCCTCGTCTCCTTCGGATGGATGCTGTATAGATGCACCAAATGATATGGAGCAGCGCGATAGTCGCCTACACCAATTCGGAACAGGCCGGTTACTTCATCGCTTATCACGGGGAATTTGCGCACTTTCGTGCGGTAGCAGGTAGGATTTTCAGCTGCAAAACAAGAAATTTCAAAAAGTCATCACGATATAGGTAATGAAAACATGGCATATGCACTTACCAGTTCCGTTTCCTGACCACGGAGAGAAATCATCTCGATTGATGTCATGGGGGTATACGATATTGCCAGCCACAAAGAAAGCATATGCACGAGCATTTCGCACCAGAGGAGGATGCTGAGGTTTCGAGCTGTTCAGAATATCATGGTTCTCCCTGAAAACAAGTTCTGTGCAATAAATGCCATAACCTCAACTCATAGATTCTTACACAAAGTTTGTATTTATGATGTATTGCAGAATGGTGTCTAGGTTTCCAGCCATTCTCTTATGTCTGACAGTCAGATACACATGGCCACTCTCAAGTTCACGAACTCCATCGATGAACTACAATTTAAGAGTTTACATGCACCAAAAGCTTTGGAAACAGTAACATTTACCGGATCAGAATTTTCTTGAGAAGCAAGCAAATCTTCATCAAAATCGCCGTCCCAGCCGCCATCCAAACAATCTTCGTGCATTTCTTCAAACTAAAATGAAACCAGTCGGTAATGGAGGAGTAGAAAGACATATCCATCCCTTGCTTGAATTCCACATGCATCATCAAACTGACCTCAGTTTCAGTGGCATTCAGAGACATGCTATTCTCATCGCCTCCATCTACAATCTCCTCCACATCTACAAAGTCTTCAACAATGCCGTTATTTCCATGAGCATCTCCTGGGGGAGGCTTTTCTGACATCATTTGGTGAGCTGGTGGAGGGCGCGCCTTAATTATTGGTAGACATTAGTGAACCAGTATCCTAATGCTATTTGAAAGAGCGTTCGCTTCGGGACCGCCACGCGGTTTCCCGCTATTTGCACGTTTTTGAATCGCGCTTACGTTTCTTTATATATTTTGAATCGCGCTTACGTTTCTTTATATATTTTGAATCGCGCTTACGTTTCTTTATATATTGGATTGGAATTAGATTATGGTGGTAAGCTGAGCGGATGACTAGACCAACCGAGATAGGCGGACCAGGAACAGTGATCGAGTTGTCACGAAGAATCTCTGGCAGTGGACCTTCTCTAATATACTCATACATGAAGCAGACAATGCCAAGGACCATACGATTGTTGCGTTGAATGAAAACAACCTCAAAACAATAACTCTGATATCATAAGTCGCTGAAAATCTCAAAACTAATAGAACAGCACATACCCTTTTTCTCAAACGCGGACATCTGGCTAAAACGGTAATGGTTTCGACCAAAGCTAAACCAGTCTGCTGCCAATCCTGTTTGGTCAACCGAAAAACGCCTTCTGAATCTTGCATCAGCGCTCGTTTCACTGTACGGACGCGGTTATGCATTGACGCTCCTGAAGACGCATACGGGGTTTCGTACATAACATACTAGTGCTTACCTTGGAAGGTCCAAGGCGACAAACCATCGCCGGTGTGATGGATGTGGTCCGCTACGAGTGTGGCTGGAGCAAAATGGACGAACACCCCTCGTCCCTCAATCATGGGAGGAAGGAAGGGCACGTGCGTGTTCAGATAACCAGCTTCATCCCTGCGCAAAGCCATATTACCGCCAAATCAAGAAAAAACGACTTTTGGACTTACAAAAATGTCGGGTCGTTGATGAGATATTTTAACAACAACGTTTTGTTGTTCACCCATCCAATTTTTGTTGGATGGACTTTGAGGAATTTCTCTCCACGAACACCAGGAACGATTCCTTCGACAAACTGAAAGGCGTAATCATTGACATCCAAGCGCTAACAGCCATAACGTCGAAAAGATAAGCAAAAAAAATTTATGTCGGAAAGAAAAATCTCAAAAAAAGTAATTGCCTTTCAAGAGTCATGCAAAGGATTGAAAGAATGAAGGAAACGAAAGACAACTATCGAATGAAAGTAAAAAAATCCAACAATTACGATTTCTCACCGGATTATCTGCATCTGCAACCGGCAATTCCATTGACAAATCCATTTGTTGCATATCTCTCAAAGCATCATTTCCGTGTGCTATGTTCATAATTGATGGGATCTCTCCGGGCATTGTAAAATCATACAAGATTAGCACATTTCCCACGATCTGGCCAGTCTGTCGAGCTACGTAGAAGATCTATAATGACCAACTAAGTGAAAGAAAAAAGTGACTATGTCTTCCGGATACCTTTTTCCTTAGTCTAAGCAGTCTTGGAAGCCAAGCGCTATACTCAGTAAGGTGGAATTCAGATGTTCGCCCATCACCCTTGCATGGGACTAAGCGACCGTCTTCCCTAGTCACTGCATGCTTTCGTACATTGGGCTTGATAGTCGGCTCACCCTCTACTGGATCTAAAACGGTACATGGCTTAGCAACTTCCAAAAAACCGCGCGCTGATTAGACGTACCAGTAGTTGTCCATGGCTTCAACTCATCGCTGGACAGCTCTCTGACTGAGCTCACTGTTGAACCTTCCACGTAAAAAGCAAAACATGCCTTTGTTGATACCAAAGGAGGTAGCCTAGGCGGTTTATGTGACATCCATCCTTGTTCGCGTCTAAAAGTTTCATTTTCAGTAAAAAAAAACGGGAAGATATGCAATTGTCTAAAGGTTACTCACATCGCGTCTATATCAGCAGGTTCCGTCAACAGTTCGACAATTCGCTCTTTGCGAAGTAAATAGCTGAGACATCCAGGAATAACTGTCGCATAGCGGTCTCCAAACTCAGTCACTCCCACTTCATTTTCGAACTAGAAATAAAAGAATAAGTGCGTGAGATAAAAAGTGGGTTGAGATGTTGAATTAATCCCCTACCAGTTTAATGTTGTAGTTGTTTATTTTTTCAGCTTCTCCTTTGCTTATAGCTTTATCAGCCACATATCGCGACCTGGGCAAAGGGACGAGTCGCCCTGTTCGACCTCTTGGTATAAGGGCAGAGCCAGGAATGTGTTTACGAGGTCTCCCTCGTGGACGTTTGCGCCTTGAAAATAATGAATGTGAAGGTGAAAGAAAGATACAAGAACAGTGTTCACTTACTCTGCACTCTTTTCCAACAATGGCGGCTGATCGTCTTCTTCTCCACCAGACACTTCCTCCTCCAAAGCGACATCTATAGCGTCAGCTAGGGTCATAATCCCGCTTTCGTGTCCCATCAGTTCAATTCCTTCTATATCCACCTCCCCTTCTATGGGCTCCTGAAAATAAAAATAACACTCTCTACTCAACTAACGCCTATGCACACTCACCTCTGGTTCAATGTAGGGAGGGGGAGGAGCGGGTGCAGGAGCAGGTGCTGGAGCAGGAGCAGAAGCAGGGGCAGGAGCAGGAGCTGTGCTCTTTTTGGCTTGCGATTTTCGCTGTATGACTGGTGTATGGTGGTGTTCCTCTGCCTTCACACTAGCATCCAGTTCATCGTCCTCTGGTGGCGACTCGATATCGACGAACTGCTCCTCGGCTTCTTCGACCGGTTGTGATGCAGATCGTCTGTCAGACATATCCTCCTCATCTTCAGGTTCTTCCTTGACGGTGTTTGGTAGCATAACCTAACAAAAAATAACTGATAATCACCATCAAAATTGGATCAAGCACTTCACTTGACTTGGAAAAAAAATCCTGGTCAAGAAAAAACATTTAGAAGAAGAATACCAGAAAGGAAACGGTTCGATGCTCGCTACGATGAACACCAGAAAGGAAACGGTTCGATGCTCGCTACGATGAACACCAGAAAGGAAACGGTTCGATGCTCGCTTTCATATGTTGAACTAGCCAAAGTGAATGCTCTCATTACCAAACTTGATGTCGTTGTCGTTGACTTGTGAAAATCAAACTAACTACTACTAACTCGATAACTATCAAGAAGTAGAAAGCAACTCATTTATTCGTATTTCTTTGTAACTGTTGAAGTATCACTTGTGAGCAGAACATATTTCGCGCATGGACTCTATTTGCTTGATAGACCATTAATCATTAAAATTCGAAGGGCTTGCTTTTAGGGTTTGTTCAAACTCAACCATCAAACTTTTCACTTGCGAGCTTGAGAAAAACTGGAAAATAGTCCAAATTTGGTTTAAAGGGGATTACAAGCATTGTTTGAAGCAATGTGCTAGTCTACAAGAAAATGTACGTATTTTACTTATAGGAAAGACGCATTGTAACCTGAACATTCTTTTTGAAAGATACGGTCTTCCCTCATTACCGATGACTTCCGGGAAGACCGTGTTCTACGTTTTTCTAATAAAATGAAAGATTCTGATATGAAAAGATCATTGTTTCTCGTACCGGACTCCTGGCAAAGAATGGGGATAAAACTTGTAACTATAAAAGGAACATTCACAACTAATCTCTTACTTCCAAAGGTATACAAGAATGAATGTTGTTCTTACTGTTGACAAATTACCTCATAGTCCTCCGAGAGCAGTACGCTTTTCCTAATCGTCCTCTTCGGTCGTGATGACAATGCTGGTTCCGATGCGGAAGACTGCGCTCCATCGTTGGTCGGAGTAGCTCCAGCTGCTTCTGCCTCGTTTCTCTTGCGTTTTCTGGCCGCCGATTTCGACGTAGGTGTCTCCGATTGTGGTGGCCGTTTCGGCGGTGATTCTGCGGTTGCACCACGACGAGTAGCGGTCATCTGAAAAGACAATTACAGTATCTTTGGTACTGCTATGGTATTTCCAGAACCGTAATTCACGTAGAAGGAGTGAGCGTGAATTCATATAGTATTAGCCTTTACTAAAAGCAACCTGACCTATCGCCGATATCCATCTCCAAAAAATTTTCCCATTTCTCTATTATTCCAAGCTTAGAAACTTAACGACCCATTAACCTTTATGTAAAGTAGGATTGAAAGAAGCAAAGTTTCTATTTCGCTTACCCAGCAAGCAATAAGAGCGTCCACCCACGCAAAAGCAGTTTTTAGGCTTATGAGCACTCGAGCAACGAGAAGCCATGATTTTTTCACCACTCAAATCAGAGTCTGGAAAATCAGGAGCATTTCAACCCCCCCGTGTTCGATATGAGGCAAGAAATATCCTATTTTTGCACCAAACAGAAATTTCGAAAATGCTTTGAGCAAACATTTCCTTGACCTCTATGTCAATGATAGACGCGAAACTAGGTAAAGCTTTCATTATTGGTAAAAATTCAACTTCCTTTAAAATAACACTTTAGAATTGTGTTGATAGTTCCCCATTCAAACTTATCTATTGGAATCCACCCTTCAATTCCCTAAAGTTCCAAACGTGAAGTTAAAGCCTTAATCTTACGAATCCAACAATTTCAAAAGATAATCCAACTTCGGAACCGGAAAACTTCCTCCAAAATACATTTGTTTCTCTTTGTAACCATTCCAAATCGATGTAAACATCGCCAAAACAACATCCACTGCACTCTGACACATCCCTTCAATTTCAACCACCAACTTCGCTCATTCTTGAGCTAACGGTCAGAAGTACCGATTAACAATCATAATGTACGTAACCGATGAAAAAATTCTGAGGTGGAAACGAAAATTTACAGACGCACTACGGCAAGGACCAGAAAATGCAGACGTCGCCGCTATTGACCGTTTGAAATTCGCGCATGCGACGCAACCGCGTCGCGAAGTCACGTGAAATTGCGGGTCACACAACGCATTCGTGTTACCGTACACCGTAGAGGCGCGAGAATTCGAGTAGCCAGAAGTTTTTGGGGACAATTCATGTCGCTGTTTTGACGGTGTTGTGGTTCTATCTCTTGAATGGTCAACGTGTCACTTATTCGGTGATCAAGAGATGCGAGCACGCTTTGCGTACCTTTGATCAGCAAGTTCGTCAGCGAATTCTAACGCGTTTTGGTTGATTTTTATAGGAATTCGTGGAAGACATGTTCGTTGTTTGACGAGCTCGAACTTTACATTTGAGATCTAATACTAAATCAACAAAAACGCGTTATAACACATTCATGAACTTGCTAATCAAAGGTAGCAAAGCGTGCTTGTCTCTTGGACAAAGAATGAATGATGCCTATGATGACATTTTAGAAATGTCCTTTCCTCTAATTAGAGGAAAGGTATGGATTTTCATAGACGCTTCAACTGGAAATGTGAACTTTCTGCGTTCAGAAATGCTAGAACAGAAGATGTCGTGTGCCGATATAATCGGCACCTCTCTTTGTAGCCTCATTGTGTGTTGCCAGAGTACCGTTAAAGGCAGCGTCCACCCAGAATTTGGCCCCCCATGTTTTCGTCATTCTGGAGCCTTTCCGTGGCTCTGATTACATTTCCGAACTTCAAACTCTCTCAAATTCGCAAAAAACCCGATTTTTGGGGACCCATTTTTGAGGGCGCGGACGAGTTTCGAATTGCTCGTCCCCGTCGGCAGGCCAGCGGGAAGGAGCTGCAACTGCATGGGTGCAGTTGCATTGCAGTGTGCAGTGTGCAGCTTCTGCTCACTACCTTGTCAATACGTGTCGGGAGTCACGTATTGACAAGGTAGTGAGCAGTCCCTGATGGGCGGAGTCTGATATCAGACTCCGCCCAGCCAGGGACTTTCAGGCCCCTTATCTCCACTCAGAGACAACGTTAGAAGACCAGACCAACGCAGATGCCCCTTGTCTGGGGCTTACATTCAGAATCGACACTAATCAGAGGGGGTTAGGTTTAGCCTGGACACTGCCTTTAAGGCCATGCATAAGCATGACCTGCCGTGATATATGTATCTTTGTTGTCCAGATGTTGTCGAGTAACTTTGCTCCGCCTGTTATCGTCAGCATTCTACCGCTGTCCCAATGCGGACACGTCGTCTGACTCAATAAATCTGCCAGGCTAGTGTATGTCCACACCTGCAGGTATTCCTACTAAGGCGACAACTACGCCTAAGGCTACGTTAACGTACGTCAGCCACTATATGTCGTATACCAATCAAGGGATCTGGTGTTCTTGAAGTCTGTGTTCTTGAAGTTGTCCACCGGTTGTTCTCAGACCGGAAGAGTTAGAAAGCTGTGAGCTGTGACACCTCCTCCCCTCGTGTTTCAAATGGAACAAATCAGATCTTGTGAAGTGACTTCTGAGCAGCCTTCTCCAGTCTCCGACTTCTCACTGTCAGTGGGATAGATGAAAACTTGAAAACAAATAAAGAATGAGTTAAGCCTTGATTGTGCTCGTAGTGTTCCCCTTCTACTTTATGAATGGTTTTAGCTCTCACGCTTAGTGCACATCAGTGGAGGATTGAACTAAGTGTAACACTGCACTACGTGCAACTATCATCTACTCTGTAACTAGGGGATCCGGAACGCTCTGCACACATTATCTAAATAGGATTGGACTCGTTCCGTGCTTCCAAAGTAAATAATCCCTTAGGCCTCGGGCAGAGTTCACGCGATTTCATCGCCTCGCGATTCTTCCAACAGACAACAAACAGTTCGAGTCCATTGCATGCTGATCATCTTGCATTTCGGTTGTGATAGTTTTGCGAACTAATCCTGAGCACTATCACAATAGAAATGCAAGTGATTGGCCTGCAATGAACTCGTAACTGTTTTCTCTTGGAAGAATCGCGAGGTGGTGAAATCGCGTGAACTCTGCCTGAGGCGTAATGAGCTAAGTCACAGGCATAAACTAACTGCACGATCGAGCTTGTTCAGGAATTTGTGTATAGCGTACTTGCCTGCCTCAAAATGAATGAGATACTCGTATCGAGACAAGTAATGGGCATGCCGTTCATCAGTCGTGAAAAATTTTAGCTCTGTATAAACAGACCGAATCTTATGAGTTCTCAAGGTCAAAGCTTTGGAAGAAACATTTAATTAACGTTTGCAAGTGGTGTTTTTGAGACAATTCTTGTCGTTCCATTCTTCAGCAACTAGCAGTTCAGGTTAAATTGCAACAAAACAGTTTACCATCGAAATTTTTTATTCAGAAAGAACCCCCTGCACTTTAGGCTCCCATCCTTCGGTTCTGTTCCCCGGAATCCCTCTGTTATATCTCGACCTGCTAAATCTGACAGGGGATGCTGCGCTCTGTAGTCCCACTTGTATTGGTGAACTTCATAAAAATAAGCATTTTGTTAACATATTGCCATGACTGACTCCATGTAAGGCGGGTGTAAAAGGATTGCTTTCCTCCGCCTATCACATTTCGCTCTCAGTTGATTCGGAATATGCGCAACTCTTATTGTAAGTCACTATTACAGCACCCACAACCTTCTTCAATTTCGTTGAAGCTGTGCGTATGCGTCAACCCAAAACTCAAAATTTAATCTTTATCATTAGTAATCAAACGAATGATTCCATTATGTGTAATAAATAAATCGCAGGAGACGTACGGGTCGCGACTACTGGCTTAACACCAATGAGCACAATTTATCACATGTACGTCCCACTTTGAATATAAAAACAGACATGTTTTGACCATTTTAAAAGAATGTGTGAATGTACGAAGTGCGATTGCGCGCTGGCTGTTCAGCTCTCACTGACAACACATAATGCACATTCATGCACTTGTGTCGGGTTTTGTGTATACGCGGATATTGTAAATTGACTGAGAACCACACACACACCGAAATTGGAGAAACAAAGCAGTCCGTAAAACAAAGCGCGATTCACCTACAAAAACGCATGGAAGCAATATCAAGAACAATACAAAACACACTACAATAATATGCACGAACTGCTGGTTCCCGTCCTCTCGAACACCAAACAATGGGCCCTGTGTAAAATAAAACTTTACAAAAGAACAATAGGAACGAAGATAGATAGACGAGGGTTTGAGGCAACGTACATGAAAAGCAGATTGGGGATTTGCGTGCGCGGATTCTTGGACACAGAGCCTAAAGGCCACGGGGAGAGAGATTTGCGTTCATCACGACGAAGAGCAACACTGTTTCTTCTGGTTTTCGTTGGTTGATGAAGTGATGTCGACTCCTGACGATGGCAGTGGCACCATGCGATCCGAGCCAACATGCTTATTGGACACGCTTTTGTAGATCTCAGTAAGAATATTCGTGAATGCCGCCTCTACGTTCGTGCTGTCGAGGGCAGATGTTTCTGAAATGTCAACAACAATGACAGTTTTCAGTGAAAATAAACTGCATTGGCAAATTCATGGGAAAGAGCATGTAAAACTCCGTAAAGACACGGCAGAACTGCGAAAAAGTTCTAGTGCAATACAAACCTCTGTCACTACGGACTGATTGATAAATTTATCAGAATCAAGATGCTTATAAATAACACTTAATTCTAAATCTTAAAAAAATTTTCAGCGGAGCACATAGAGCACTCTCCCGCAAAATTAAATTGCAAAAAATATGAACCCCACTCAGACAGCCCACTACAAAAATTGACAATAAATCACTGACTATAACTAAGCAATACGACTGTTACATGCTAAACTCACCTATGAAAGATAACTGATTCTTCTCCGCATAAATTTTCGCTTCATCTGTAGGTACAGCTCTGAGATGGCGAAGGTCGCTCTTATTGCCAACCAGCATGATAACAATGTTTTGATCGGCATGATCACGAAGTTCTTTCAACCAACGTTCCACATTTTCATATGTCACGTGTTTAGCTGAAAGACGCTTGAAATGAGATGACAATAAAATAATCAGAAAATACTGTAAAGAATGTGTCATGCAAAAACTGCAAAACGCACCGATATCATACACTAACAGTGCTCCAACAGCACCACGATAATAAGCTGAAGTAATTGCTCTGTATCTTTCTTGACCAGCAGTATCCCAAATTTGTGCCTTGACTGTTTTACCTTCCACCTGGAACACATCTAGTGATTAACCTGCACCAACGAACATGTACTACAAAATCCAAGTTTATCAATTTCATCTATTAAGTCACTCCCAGTAAAATTTTCCGTATCGAAAACGTGGTGTTGAGCCAATTACTTGGTGATTCACCTACATAAATGATAGGAGCAAACGGTGCATTTCGCAAGACATTTATCACTTTCAAAGTCAAGTTTTATCAACACTTCTCAATAAATCAACGACCAACCGATAAGGCATTTAAAAGAAGCCCTAAGACCAAAATCCAAAAACAATACTTGTTATGGTTCTTGAGCGAAACATAACTCAAGATTATTTGCTAAAATCAAACTCTACCTGAATACTGCGAGTGGCGAACTCTACTCCTATTGTAGACTTTGACTCGAGGTTGAATTCATTTCTTGTGAACCGTGACAGCAGGTTCGATTTTCCCACTCCAGAATCGCCAATCAATACCACTGAAAATCTATGTTTAGATTATGAACACAGCAAGAACTAAAGTATTCCGCTGAGGTCACGACCGAGTTTGGAAAAAAAAACCTTCAACAGAGCTTTCCACTCTACCCATAAATCATCAAAAGTTCCCACTGCTGACAGCATCTGAAGCGTCGGTCAAAAAGCCGTCTGCCCTACTCTGGTTATTAGTAGTCATGGCTGACATTTTAGAGGCTCAAAACGTTTCTGTTACATAAACTGAAGAGCAAAAAAACCATAGAGGATTTCAGATCACAAAAAAATTGACACGAAATTTGAAAAAAGGTCAAACCGTTGGATACGATATTGATTTCAATTTTATCGGGATTTCCTACAATTTGTGGCAAGTAAAAACTTCCTTCTAGCAGATCAAACCGCTTCAACCGTTATTTAACATTTCTGTAAAATTGACTAGAGTTCACTTCGGAATCAGTGGATATACGTGTTCAACAGCTTTTCAATCGAATATTTCCAATTAAAGCCATTTCAAGACTAGATAATTGATGCATGAAATTCAGCGCTTTTGTTTCTTATCTGATGATCCGAAAAATCACATGTCACATCATACATCACCGATATCGCAGCCGCAAACATGCTGCCTAAGTGCAATTATGATTTGAAAATGAAAAATTATTGTCCAAAGATTTCACATTTCTTATTTTATGCACTTAGAAAACGTCAAAATGTTAACAGTTATTCGAGGACAAGAAGACGACCGAATTGCTGACAGATAAGTCATCCATATGTCCCTCCAACAACTGTTATAAAGTCTACCAATTTCTCTTAGAATCAGCTCGAGAGATTCAGAAGGAAAGACTAAACACTCCAATAATTATCATTCACTGCATAACTTCTTTTGATTGGCTAATTAACAATCAGACTACCCCAAATTCTTGTTCAAATCTAACATTGCGCATTCATGCATGCAAAAGGCAAGAAGCCATAAATTTTGCGCCACAAGAACAGGCTATTCGGTGATGGTGCTTGAACAATGCCGTATATGCCAAAGGCTGAGATTCGTATTGTGAGTATTTACGGTAGTAACGGTGGTAACGCAACAGTTCCACCTACTTGCCAGTTCGTGAAAAAAGTAATTCGCTAAGATGCAAATCACAACGCAATCGCAGCATGTGGCTAAATTTGATATACGGAAACCGGAAGAAGATAATGCCACCACCTCAAAAATAGCAATTAAGTAGCCCACTAAAATATATGGCAAATGACTCGTTAATTCAAACAAAAAGTACATGATGTCACTGATGCATGAAATTTGCACTGTACCTTCACAAAGAAATGTCGAAAGAGAAACTAGACCATGCGAAAATCGTGCCTATAAGATAGCTACCTAATATCATCACTAGAAGAGCACATGAGCCTCTAGAAAATCCGTAATGTACAAGTGGAATAAGGCCAAAAGAAAAAATGGCAAAGTTGTCACGCAGCAAAAGGAGATTGTCTACGTAGGGTGTTGTTCAAATAGCACAAAACTTCAAACATTCGTTTTAGGTTTTGTATTATGAAACTAAGGACTACCGATCTCATATGACCCAGATCACTACCATAAAATATCGAACCGCGGAGATGGGTTGATTCATGAGGTTGACTCATTCTGGTTATTACACCAATAGTTTCACAGGTCGTTATCACTGTCAAAATGAAAAGAACATCCCAGATAAAACTATTGCGTTTCCGAAAAGATTATTCATAATTTCTCAAAAACGGATGACGTGTAAACGACACAAGGTCACGCAAGCCACTTTGTGCCTTTTCAATAATTGTTATAGATGAACGACAATATCGATTATATCGATTAAGTTTAGCTTTCACTATATGTATCTCACGAATATAAGGTCGAGCTTGAAAAAAGGGCTGATTGTGAGAAAAATGCTTCTTTTGAAGATAAAAAAGTTCTTGGTAAAGCTCACACTTTTCTTGCAGACTGCATCATTCAGCAGGGAACAATATGACTCAATCCCAACTGTTTTATGTTCTTTTTTGATACGTGTTTATTATAAAGATAAATAAAACACTGAATTTTCCTTGAGCCAACCTCTCATCTCTCATACTTAACCATACAAGGCTTTTGTACCTTCCCTTCCCAAAGTGCATGATCCGATGCTTTGACTTCGCGCAAAGAAAAACCAATCGCGCCGAATTTTTTTTCCAAAGATTTGTCGGCGTTCGCTAGACATGGACCTGCGTGAAGTCGATCAATAGAATGCGACCTGTTGGTCGCTTGTATTTGGTCCACATACTATCTGCTGTGACTCAGCGGCGACGGACACGGGAGTCGCGGCGGTCGCGAAATAGCGTCCGTAGCGGGATGCGAAAAAGCGGTCACAGAGCATGGGCTGGCGCAAATCTTCCACGAGAGGAGGTGCGGAACAAAACGCTCCTCTTTCGCAATACCTCACAAAATAACGATTAAAGGTAATTGTGATGGGAAATTTTACAGCAGCGATGTACACATGGTAAGTGCAACAAAAGGGCAATTCGATAACCTTCTATGAGATGACATCGACGATGGTAAATTGCAAAGAAGTCGAAAAATCCAAAAGATAAAACCTGACATGCGCGCCATACAAGCGCTATTGATTCAACTACAGGTGCTGAGAACCAGTTTGCAGAACATCGACAGTGATGAGGGCTAGTTTTTTAATAAAGCCAATTTTGCAAAACAAAAACTAGATAAAACAGAGCCATCCTAGAGATAAACTTACCCTTGAATAAGTAGTCGTATTCATCATCACGAGAGCCCATTGTAGGTTGCGTGCGGCTGAAAACAAAACAATAAATAGTTGACAGCCAGCTACAACAGTACATGCCATAATAACGCTGAGGAAACCGGAAAAGGAGCAAAAGTCACCAAAATCACAAAGACGGAGCTGTTCAAGCACATTACCTCTACCTATGGAACAACTATGATAAGAGCGAACTGTTGTAAAACACGACCCCGAGGACTAGGTGACAAACAGCGACACCACCCTCCCGACACCGCCATCCACGTCAATCAGCGAGACAGGACCGCGTCGCCTACCGCTTCGCCACGGGTGGCCCTGCAGTGATTTGCATGAAATTGACGCCTGAGCCAGCATACGGTCGATATTGGCGCAAAGCACATTTGGATTACTTGGCCTAAAAGAATTGTGCAAATTTTACTAGTTTTACAGTTGTGAAGGCTTGAACATGCTTGGAATTCATGCTCTGTTACAACATGTTTGCAAAAGATCGCTACGAAGATTAGGTTTCTTTTGGAGGGGACTTGTTTGTTGTTAATTATTTACTTCAAATATTTTGATTTTAATGAGTTTGAATTGGTACTGATTATTCTCACTCATTTTTGCGCTAATTGTAATGTTCGCTTTCTTAGTAGGAGTAGGATATTGCGGTCCTGCATTTTTATTCCAGCATTCGCTTGAAATGTTTTTAAAGTTTACCAGATCTCCAAATAGAATCATCTCCACATTTTATAATCAATCAAATCTCCAAGTTCAATCTTGACCACAAATCTCTGTCAACTTTCGGTTTGGAACAAAAATCGCGTTTCCCATTTCGATTTCGGTCGCCGTTCCTACATTTTATTTTTCGATTTTTTCCATATTATCGTTGAAAACTGCTTATATCACTATCTTCAGGGTATCCTACGACTAAACCATGGTCGAGTGAGTTTTTCTTTTTTTTTACACTTTTTTATTTACTAGGGCTACTGTTTTTTCTGGGTTGCATCGCAAAATCTGTGTTTTAGGAAGAAACTTCCCCAGGTCCCTGAGACTGTCTTGAAGAGAAGGAAACAGAGAGCTGAGATTAGGGCTAAGATCATCCAAAACAAAGTCAAGCTAGCTGCTGTGAGTTTTTCAAGGACTTTTTCATTTTTCGCGTCTCTTGTTTCAGTAACATTTGTGTTTTTTATTGCAGAAGAGCAAAGAAAAGAGAGCAAAGATCTTCAAAAGAGCCGAGAAGTATGTGGCTGAGTACCGCCAAGCTCAAAGAGAACAACTCCGCTTGAAGCGAGATGCAGAGAAGAACGGCGACTACTATGTTCCCGATGAACCCAAACTCGCTTTTGTTGTCAGAATTCGTGGTATCAACCAGATCCACCCACGCCCACGTAAGGTATGTTAATGTATTCATGTTTCTTTCATTTAAAAGTCTTTTTTCATGCTCAAGCACGAGCACTTTTGTAACGATCGTTGATAGGTCGTTTCTTTTATCATCGTGCGAAATTATTGTTGCTACAGCATTATGAGTGGCTATTATATTTGCCTTTCATAGCCATGTAGTTCAACAGTTCTGTGTATGCAATGGAAAGGCTTTCGATTTTATGGGCCTCATAAAACTGAGACTAGCCCTGTATTTCTGCGTCTAGACAATTTCAAAATCTTTGATAGAAAATGTGATGACAGTGTTAGTCTAGCGATATTTTGTTGTCGTCACTGGCACATCGTTACGAAAGTTATCATTTGTGACAATATGCTTGATATACTAGCAAGGTAGAGAAGCAAAGTATTAGAAGGAGCAGTTTTAGCATATCTTCTGGCACTAATTTTTCCCGAAGTTCGACAATTCTGGTACATCTGTTTCTTTTACGAAACTTTTCTTATATCAACTTACGTGTTCATATTTTTGTTGGTAAAATGTTCGGATTCTCACTTCAAAATTTTTTCTCTCTGTTCGCCTTCAATCGAACTCGATAAAAATCAGAATTTGGCAGAACTAAAGCAAAGAGTCAATCAAAGATCGTAGATGTTCGAATTGAAGCAGTTTTACGATAGGTTTGTTTACGGGTGTAAGCCGACAGCTTGAAACTTCGTACAGACGAATGAAAAGACCTTTTTTCATTTTGTCTTATGGGCCTCAAGAGTTGACGTATGAGTGACTAAGGAACTGCAGCGGACGCATGCACTAACCTCTCCGCGGGGAGTGGATCGCAGCTTAAAAGAAAGCTTTATATTTTGAATTTCCAGATACCTGGATTTCACGTTGTGTACCTATCCGTAAGTACTCCTACTACCCCTCACTATGAACATGTTGAACAGGAGCGAGAAGCTGTACAAACCGCATTTTCCAGCTTTTGTGTGATCCCTGATGACCCCTGGCGCTTTTCTCTATGGTCATTTTTCTTTCTCCGAAGTTAACGAAAACCTTCCAAAGTTGTGCAGATTATCTAACCCGACTGTGCTAAGCATGTTGCTGATAAGAACAAATGATGTTTTGAATCATGAAATTTTCAATGATCCACAGGTCGAAATTTGAGGTTTACCGAAAAATTCGACTTTTCAAAAACTCATTTGTTCTCATCAGCAACATGCTTAGCACTGTTGTGTTAGATGTTCAGTCAACTTTGGAAGGCTTTCGTTGACTTCGGAGAAAGAAAAATGACTTTGAAGAAGAGCGCCGGGGATCATCAGGGATCATACAAAAGCTGGAAAATGCGGTTTGTACAGCTTCTCGCTCCTGTTCAACATGCTCATAGTGAAGGGTAGTAGGAATACTTACGGATAGGTAGACAGCGTGAAATCCAGATATCCGGAGCTTCAGGATATGAAGCTTTCTTCTGAAGCTGCTATCCCCTCCCTGCGGGGATATTAGTGCATGCGGCCCTTAGACTACTAAGGGGAGCACCTTTTGAAAACGGATCATGCATGTGTAGTCGCTGGCTCAGAATTGAGCTTGAGAAACGCTCAGATTTTGGAGGATGATAAAACTGTGATGTGACTTGTGCTTGTCTTCTCAATTCGCGTTTATTCCCATCAAAGTACACAGTTGCTGTTAAGTTTTCTTACCAAAAGATGCGAAGCATATATCTGCTAAAATCTCGTCCTTGTGTTATTACAAGAACAAATAAAGCGTATTTTATGTTTTTTTTGAAGATCATTCTATGGCTCTGTATGGTGTTGACCCTGAGATCCTGGATTTACACTAGCACTAATTAATGAATGATCAGCAGTCATGGTTTTCAGGCCCTCCAAGTGCTTCGCCTGCGTCAAATCAACAATGGTGTCTTCGTCAAACTGAACAAGGCCACTCTTCCCCTCCTCCGCATTGTGGAGCCATACGTTGCCTGGGGTTACCCGAATCTGAAGACCGTCCATGATCTGATTTACAAGCGTGGATTTGCCAAGGTCAATCACCGACGAATTCCGATCACTGACAACAACATTATTGAGGAGGCCCTTGGTGGGTACCTTTAGTTTTATCTTTGAATTTTTGAACAGTTCTATATGGTTTCTCAATTTTTAGGCAAACATGATATTATCTGTATGGAAGATCTTGTTCACGAAATCTACAATGTCGGACCCAACTTCAAGGCAGCATCCAACTTCTTGTGGCCCTTTAAACTGAATAACCCTACCGGAGGCTGGACGAAGAAGACTAATCACTTCGTCGAGGGAGGTGACTTTGGAAACCGAGAGGACCAGATCAACAAGTTGCTAAGGAAAATGATCTAAACACTGTTTATTGTTATTGTTTTCTTTGGTTTGAACCGAAGATGATAAAATGTTATTGTTTCTTGTCGTCGTTGACCATATAAAAATTGTACAGACTAGGCTTTTTGGCTCAAGCATTTTATAGGACTCTTGGAGTGCATGCACATTGATCGTCACTCTGAAAATCCAGTTTTGTGGCAGCAAGGCATCTGCACCACTCGGCCAGAATAGTTTTCATGATCAGACCTTATGTGATACAAAATGTTCTCTACGTAGAGGGAGGAAAGTTCATATTTTTCTCTTCTTTGTTTTGAGACGACGTTCGCATCTCATTGGGATTGTCCCGTGTCTCACTCTGCTTTTGGTCAGTGTAGAGCTAGGCGGTTGCTTGCTGGACGATTATTCGTACGTACTCGTGTTCTCCAGAGCTAGCAATGGCGAGGTTGATTGGAAAAAAGTCTAACAATTATCATCGAACTTGCGCGGACGAGTAACCATATCACGAGGAGGACCCAGGGCCCGGCACAGATCGCCTGGAAGCAGGCTGGACTTCGTATTTGGAGCAAAAAGCAAAGGAGATATCGTTTTTGACGAATCGGGGACCAAGCACCAAGAATAAGCGCCATTTAGTCCAACACAAGCTTTTTGGGCAGGTTATCACACGATTGACATGCTCTATCGTGTATGGCGAAAAGTGCGCGCGATTTGAAAGCAAGGCTAAAGTAAACAAATTACTTGTTAAGACCGTAAACATAAGCTTTTGACACCAAATTTGTACCATATAAGTGAAATATTATTTAAGGAAGACCTATGTAAAAAGTTTTGAAAACTTATGTGAAGTAGTACCTTTTCCAAAATTAGATCGTCTCCAGACGGCCACCAGACGATCTGAGATCGTCTGGAGCATATATTTCTGTCACTTCACATAAGTTTCGGATTTTTCTAGCATGGACAAATTCCCCGATCAAAAATCTATCCCTGAGCATAAAGACATTTTCATATCATTGCCTCTCCTTCGTTTTTTGCCTTGATTTTTTCATGAATCGCTTTGTTAGATATCGCGCTCCAATAGCAAACTCTTATGCATGCACAGTAATCAGCTCCAACTTGGATTTTCTTTCTTATCTCACGTTTTTTCCTTCACACTAGTAAATCTTTCTTGTTTCCATCTTCTCCTAAGCAGGTAGGTCAAAGGGGACTTCGTAAAACTACCGAAAGTCAGGGGAGACTTCGTTTTTAAAAATCCTAGAAACCGACTCGTGCCGGGCCCTGGGAGGACCTGCTAGGTTGTCCGGAAAAACCATCTTTTCAGTTCCTCTTAACTTGTTTTGGGGAAGCAGCTTTTAGTTAACAAGCTATAAAACACTTGAAGCCAAAGATTTGTGGTTTCATCACATCTGCTTCGTCGAAGACACCTTATTTCTCCGAAGAAGTTCTCGAATATCAGTCTATACAAGACTTCCGACTGATCTACTTCTTTGGTTCTTCCTTGGTCGCAGTGCAGCTGAAACTTCTCGGAACATCAACACCGCGTGGGGAGAAGAAAGGTTATGGAACAGGCTGTGCGACGTTGGTTCAAAAAATTTGAGGATGGACGAAGAAGATAGGGAAAGTCGTGGACAATTTTCTCTTCTTGATGACCATCATCTGCCATGTTGAAAGATGACCCCCCATCTGACAATGCGAGAAATTGCGAAAGACATTCTTACATGCTCACAATTTTGGTATGTCCAAAACCCCCTTCCTGGGTGTTGGACATACCAAAATTGTGAGCAGTAAAAACGACAAAGTAAAAAAAATAGATAAATGGGTACACCGTGAACTGAGTCCCAGCAAGGAGAATAGCCGATATGAGATCTGCTTTGCACTGCTTTTGCGCAACAAGAAATGATCCGTTTCTTAAACGAATTGTGAAGAGAAATGGATTTCCTATACAACAACAGAAGAAGGTTTGCGCACTGGGTGGACGAAGATAAGCCACCAACCATAGCGTTCTCTAGACCCAAGTTGCATTTGAGAAAAATGATGTTCATTGTTTGTGGTCTGTTGACGGTATTGTCCACAATAACTGGTTGGAGCCAGGTGAAACCATCACTGCAGAGATGTATTTGAGAAATTCAATGACACGCATGAGAAACCTCAATTTCATCCTGTCTTGATGAACAAAAAAAGCGCCAATACCTTTACATGATAACGGACCGCGTGTTGGAAGTATTAGGTTGTCAAGAAAATAATGTCCGTTTTTATTTGCTTGCTTTAACAAAGCAATCAGACTCGACCCATCAAAGGGTAAGGGGTACTGTTCGATAGAGCAAAGCAAGCTCTACAAGATGGCTTTCATGATTTTGCGCCAAGCTCGACCCATGGAAAGTTCGAACTCAAAATCTGAAAATATCCAAATGTCCAAAAAATTGAAAAAAATTAGATCTTTGTCCGTATGATTTCTACAGGCCTCCCACTCGCTCACATCAACTATCGATATTTGATACTACCGCTTGGAATGGGCTGAAAATCTACAGTCATACTTACCTAGGCTTGTAGTATAGAACTACATATGCAAAAACAGCTCAGCATTGCTTTGAGAAAATCAGGGAAATTTTCGTTTTCTCAGTTTCTAGTCAAGGAAAAAATACGGCAATCGCACATATGGATATCAGATATCGATAGTATTGATGTGAGCGAGTGGGAGGTCCGTAGAAATTATTTGGACGAAGATCTGATTTTTTTTCATTCTTTTGGCATTTGGAAATCTTTAGATTTTGAGTTCGAACTCTCCGTGGATCGAGCGTAGCGCAAAGTCATTAGTGCCATCTTGTAGAGCTTGCTTTGCTCTACCGAATAGTATGCCTTAGCCTTTGTTGGGTCGAGTCTGGTTGCTTTGTTAAAGCAAGCAAATAAAAACGGACATTATTTTCTTGACAACCTAATATGATCGTGCAAAAACCGAATGGGTTTGGGTGTGAAACCCTGCTCATACCATTTACTCTCAGACCTATCCTATCTCCTACAGACTATTATTTTTTCAAACGTCTCGACAACTTCTTGTACGAGAAATTTTTAAGGAAAAGTAGGATGCTGGTAATGCTCTTGCAGAATTTTACGTCTCTGGATCTTCAGATTTTCATGCAAACTCGTATCTCTTTGGCACAAAAGCGTTTACTCTAATGATTCTTATTTTCAATGAAAAGCTTGTGTTTATGCTGAGTTAGGATTCAGTCAAGGTGGCAAAACGAAAAATAATTCTTCGACGCCTGATAATCTTTTTTGCACATGTTTCAAATTTAAACATTCCATAAGATTTAGGGCGCTAGCCCGAATGAAAAAAATCATTATTGTCAACAACAAAGTCCAGGCCTCATCATTCGCTTATTATCTACCAAGCCTGCCTGGATCCGTTCAATCCACTCAAATTATTACTGGCATTTAGTTGTGTAATTCAAAATCGCCTCCCTACCTCTAACAATACTTATGAATTTTGAAGCGGAGCTGACTCATGCAATCATGCACTTTTATCAGCCATTTATCTTGAAACATTCTGAGCGGATATGACAGAAACATAAATGTTTGTGCAAATTGAGAAGGCTTAAAATAGAACCTGAGATATGTTATCTTTTTTCGCTATAGATGAGGAGATCAACCACGGTATAAGGGAAACAGATTATAGAATCAAGCTCTGAGTCACTATCTATCTCAGAAAGTCTAACGGGTTGAGTAAGATTTTGACATTGCATCTCGAAATATTTTTCTTTGTAAAATGAGCATTATTATCCTTTGATTCAACCGGATTGGCGGCTGGGGCGGGGCTTCGTAACCTGATTAAGGTTAGTGAATGATCAAAGCACTTTCGCGAGAGAGATGCAGACGGCGTCGCGGGTGCGAGCGGTCGCCTTCCAGCCGTCATCGTTGAATCAAAGGGTACATTATAATCGCATACTCATCAGCTTTTATGCTAAATATGAGAAACCTGAATTTAATATAGTGTTTAGAGGATTGCCATAATGTGTACGACAAAGCTATTACTTCGCTCATCAATCATTGAAGGTGAAAGAAACCAGCTGAGAGTTACACATATTGACGGGTTTCACAAGAATACTCGATTGAGCAGAATTTAATTTTTGTTTCTATTTTTGGTTTGCATCCGTATAACAATCTAGAAATGAGGTATTTCTGACAGTAGGTTTTATTCGTACTAAGCTGAGAGTAATGCGTAGATTTCAAGCCATTTCAAACTTTTCGCGAATTGGTATAAGAATAATGGGCATGTACTGTTAAACACAGTTTTTCTTCCTCTTTTCGACAACTATGTTGCTATAATTGCCATGTTGCTTGTAAGATTTTAAAAAATGCGTAACTTCAGTTAATCTTCAAATTAAATTTGGAGTTGTGAGGGATGACTCAATCGCATCAAATGTGCAAACGTTTTTTGCGGAATTTTTTAGAGTGCAAATTTTTGGGTTCCCCAACTAGTCCGTTGAGACTTTTGAAAAAGTAAATTTAAGTTGTCAGTTATTGAAGAATTGCTTGAAAGAAAAATAAAAATACTTCAGCCAGCCTTGCAGAGAACCTTAAGATTTGACAAATCATACGCAATCATGGTACCTTGTTTTTCAAAGTAAAAAGTCTTCCCTCATTGTCGAACACAGCCATACACAACTAAAGAACTGAACGAGCAAAGCTCAAGACTTCTGCGATTATTTCAGCAGTTATGTCAAAATTTAATTGGAAGGCGTAGCTGCTGGAGAGAGAAGGAAAAATTGTATTGGTTCTATACAACACAAGTCCAACAACACTCTAGCTGATTTTGGCATAGGTTTGAAAAAAATGTAAAGTTTCCGTTACCTTTGACTCATCCTACATATTGGCTTGGTAAATGTGACTCGAGTCTAGTAATGGCTCAGTTATCGGAATCTGCAGATATGGTGAAATTAATTGTTGAGCTAAACTGCCCATTTTGAAGGTTTCTGAAGCTTTATCCAAAAAGCGTATTCAATCATTCAACGATTAGAATGAGAGAATTTTCT